GCAGGATTAAGAGGGATGAGTGGGTACCTAGAGCCATTCACATCTTCTCCCCCAAGGGCTCCATCGGGACCACAAACTGCTGGGGCACAGCAAGCAGAGACTGTGGGAGCTGGGTTTTTCCTGGTGTGATGTTATAACCCCCAGGCAGCACACTGTGGGGGGAGGGAGGTGTCACTTGATTCCTACTGTGCAGGGCCAGCCAGCTAAGCTCCCTGGCTCAGACTGACCCCAGTCGCTGCTTTTTCACACACATCCATCTCGCTCAGAGGTCAATGGCAAGGTTCAAGGGAAAGGCCTGGTCTTGCGGAGGTGGGTGGGCATCTTTGGGAAATATTGCAAATATTGTCTCTTGTGCAAGGTTCACTGCATGTGGGGTTAACCTCAGAGCGGGTGGTGCATCGCTCTTCAGTGGAAGTGTACGTGTGCATGCGTGCATGAGACAGGGCCTGAAACAGCCCAGGGGCATTTGTAGGCATCAGGACTGTGCCAGTAAGAGCTTCCGTGAAATGGGGCTGTACACGGAGCAGCTTTCTGTGCACACAGAAACAGTCTCCCCCACCAGGTTGGCCTCCAGTCAGAATCCCCAGACTGCAGGCTCTGAACCTCTACTGTGAAACCCCAAGGGAGTCCAGGGACTCTGGGGCGCCCATCCAAGGGACAGTCCAAGACACACTCCAAAGGCTGGCCCACGGATATTCATGAAAACAAAGAGACACTAACAAAACCCAGTGGCTGCTTCCCTGACTCCCACATGGGAGACCTGGACCCAGGGTCCTGACTCCCAGCTTCAGCCTGGCCCAACCTCTGCCGTTGCAGGCATTTGGGGAGTGAATCAGGGCATAGGAGTGTGTGTTCACACATGCTCGCATGCACGCTCTCTCTAATAAATAAGTAAAAGATGGCCCAGGGAGGTAAGGAGCTATGATGCTTGGCCAACTCCTGGCGAGGCAGAGAGAAAGGGGAAATGCAGATACTCTGAGAAGGCTCCCATCCCTGGGACCACATCCACACCCACTCTGGCTTTACTCTGTAGTGCACGAGGCTGCACACGGCTGGTGGGCACCAAGTTGGCAGCACTGGGAGACGAGGAGGAGCTGGATCTTACAGACGTCCCTTGCCCTGGGAGAATATGGGTGGCGCAGGGGTGGTGAGAAAGAACCCATCAAGTTCTCTTCAATTCGACAACTCTCTCTTCACCATTGTCACCACAGTCCAGTTCCCCTCAGGTGGTATTTTCACTTCTGCTCTGCCCCCTCGCCCCCACCTCACTTAATGCATGCCCACACCTCCGCCAGTCTTGTTTTTAAAATGAAGACTGGGTCACAGAACCCTAACCTTAGCATTGCCCTTGCGATCCAGATGGAGACCCCACTGCGGTGTCCAGTGTAGGATCTAGGTCCTCCTCCTCCTCCTCCCTCCTTGCCCCTCCAGCCACACATACTTGTCCTGGCTCCTGCGGTGGACATGATCCCTCCTGGCCTAGGCCCTTCGCATCCTTTAGCACTCGGTTCACTCTCCTATTGGCTGGCTGTGTGGTCGTTCGACGGGTGTTCCGTTGGATTGGCTGATGGTTCTGCCAGTCTCCCTCGCTGTACTGCAAGCTTTCGGAGGACAGAAACCGCAGCTAGTTCCGCTGTCTTGTTAGGGTGCACTGCTGGAAAGATGCCCACACACAGCAGATGGCCAAAGGCATCCGCTGACTAGGCAAAGGAATGGAATCTGGTCTGCATTTCACAGATTCTTCGTTGCTGGAAAGCATTGGAGCCAGGTGAGGAGCTTGGTCCAAGGACCTCCCTGCCTCACCCCTCTGTATCACTGGGACCCAGCCACCCAGCAGTGGTGGTGTGTGTGTGTTGTTTGTGTGTACATGCGTTTGTACAGTGTTTGTGTGGGTATCATGCTTGGATCTGCTTATTGTTTGTTATTGTAAGTCAATGTGTATGTGTTTGTGCATGCTTGTGTGTATGTGTGATTGTGTATGGTTGTGCATGTTTTGTGTGACTGTGGGCATATGTGTGTGTGTCTGTATAGTTCATGTGAGTTCATGTGTGTATGCTTGTTATGTTTGTTACTGTGTGCATATATGTGTGTGAAGTTGTATGATGTGCATATTTGCGACTGTGTGCATGTGTGGTATATGTGTTTATGTGTGCATGTCTGTGCGTGGGGTATGTGTATTAGTTTGTATGTGTGCAAGTGTGTGGGGATATGTGTATTAGTTTGTATGTGTGCGTGTTTGTGTTTGTGTGTGGGGGGGTATGAGTTCATGTGTATGCGGGGCGGTGAGCATGACTGCAGGCCCCCTCAGGCCCCCTGCCCAGGCAGCAGTCCCCAGAAGCACCTCTTGCCAGGTGAAACCTGTCCTGCCTTAGCACCTTCTGGAAATAACCAGGGTTGACTTTCAAAGAAGCAGCAGCATACATTTTTAAAATGTGCTTGCCAGGTTGGGGAATGCATTTTTTTAGTCCATTAAAAAATATAGGCTGGCTCCATCACCTGTCTCATGACCAACACAGTGCCAACATCTTCTACTCCAGGCTGCTACTGCTCAGTGGCTTGGCTCCTCTGGGTTCAGTCACTGGTTTGTCATAGCGCCATTTGGCCTGTAGTAGGCGCTCCACCAACTTCTGTTGAATATATGCATGAATGGGGTTTTCATTGGTCTGGAAACAGCCCTTCCTGGATGGCAAGGGCAAACTGCAGCCCAGCCACATGTTCTAGCATGTGTCTGCTCTGTCTCACGAAGATTTGGGTTTCATCACACACCTCCTAACAGAAGCAGGAGACCAGAGACAGCTCCTAACACCTTGTGGCTACTTGCTTGTGAGTAAATTACATAACCTGCCTGAGCTTCCCCAGCCTTGCCTGTTAAGTGGGTACAATAATTCTTTAATTGCCTGAGGCTGATGTTTTTAAATTCAACGTAATATTTATTAAGTGCTAAGCACTGAGGATGTGCCACAGAAGAGAATGGTAGTGGCCTCAAAGAGGCATCACACAGATAAACTTGTAAAATTACAGTTTAGGACATTTGTATGATAGAAAACCACAGGGTGCCGTAGGACAGAAGAGCAGTGGACTTAATTCAGAATAGGGTGCAGCAAGGGCCTTGTTAAGAAATTGTCTTTTATGGGCTCAGTGCTGTGGCTCAGTAGGTTAAGCCGCCACTGCAATGCCAGCATCCTATATGGGTGCCAGTTGGAGTCCCAGCTGCTCCACTTCTGATCCACCTCCCAGGCAACATGCCTGGGAAAGAAGCAAAAGATGGGCCGGTGCCGTGGCTCAATAGGCTAATCCTCCGCCTTGCGGCGCCGGCACACCGGTCAGGGCGCCGGATTCTGTCCCGGTTGCTCCTCTTCCAGGCCAGCTCTCTGCTGTGGCCTGGGAGTGCAGTGGAGGATGGCCCAAGTGCTTGGGCCCTGCACCCCATGGGAGACCAGGAGAAGCACCTGGCTCCTGCGCCGGCCGCAACGCGCCAGCCGTGGCGGCCATTGGAGGGTGAACCAACGGCAAAGGAAGACCTTTCTCTCTGTCTCTCTCTCTCTCACTGTCCACTCTGCCTGTCAAAACAAAAAAAGAAGAAGCAAAAGATGGTCCAAGTGCTTGGACCCCTGCACCCATGTGGGAGACCCAGATGAATCTCCAGGCTCTGGTTTTAGCCTGTCCCAGCTTCAGCCATTGAAGCCATTTGGGGAGTGAACCAGCGGATGGAAGATCTGTCTCTGTAACTCTGCCTTTCAAATAAATAAATTAAATCTTTTTACAAAAGAAAGTGGTGTTCTTGTTGACATAGTCCCAGCCCCAGCCCCTGCGGGTGATGGCTCAAGTGAATGAACAGGTTACTGCCTCCCTCGTGGGAGACCCAGGCTTCCACCCAGCTCAGTCCTGGCCAACGTGGACATGTGAGGAGTGACCCAGCATATGGGAGAGCTCTGTTGCTCTTTCTCTGCCTCAATACATTTTTAAAACCTTAAAGCCAATCTGCACGCTTCCCATGTTAAAGACGAGCAAACAAGAACAGCAGCGAACCCACTCGGCCCGGCTGCGCGCGGGGCGCGAACGGCCCAAGCCGCCTTAGATGTGCAGAAGGAGTCTGGGGCGCGCCTCTCGCCGTGGGGCTCCACACCGCGCCATGCCTCCGAGGGGCTGAGCGTGGCGTGTGCTGGGCCGGCGGCTAGGCTGGGGAGGACGCCCAGGGCAGCGCCCGGCCGGCCCGGGACCGCTCCGCGCGAGGCGGGCGTGTGCGTGGTGGAGTCCTGTCGCGGCCGCCCGGCCCCAGGAACGGAAACGGCGCCGCGGCGGGAGCGCGTGTAGGTGGCAGGGCCCTCGCTCGTCGCCGAGCGGGCCCTACCTGCCTAAGCAAACAGCGCCGGCCGCGCCCCGCTGCGCCCCCGCCCGCGGCGCAGGAAGCAGGCGGCCCGGGCCCCGCGCCCGCGCCCGCGCCCGGCTAGCAACCCGGCGCTGCGGCGCTGCGATTGGCTGCGAGCGGGCAAGCGGCGCGGCGCCGCGCCAATGGCGGGCGGCGGCGGGGCGCGGGGCGCCGCATGCCTGTGGTATTTGCTCAGAGGGGCATGACCACTTTGGGCAAGTCTTTCAATGTGAGTCAGCTTTCGGCCGATCCCTGGGAAAAATTCCTTCGGTGTTGTCAGGCAGGGTTCGCGAGCGGCAGCTTTTTTTTTTTTCTTCCCCCTTCTTCCCTCAAACAATTCAAAAGAGGATAATCCCAGTGAATGGAGACGGGCATTCGGACCTGGTCCCCGACACCCCCAGAGGAGGCCGCGGGCGGAGCAGGGGGACCAGGCCACCTGAGCCCCGAGCTGTGCCCCCCGGGGCGCTGGGCTCCTCCCGAGGGGTCTGGGCGCCCTGCACTGCGGCCCTGCGTCCCCCCAGGGCGCAGCGACTGCGGCACCAACAGTGCCCCCTGCAGGTGTGCGGCACAGCTCCCCACACGTGGCCTGGGCCTGGGCCCTAGCTTGCCTGGCCTCGCGTGGCCACCGCTCTCTGTTGTGTCCCTCGGGGAGTCTGGGTTGGCGACTGGGGTCACTTCCCCGGCAGTTTCCTCTCTGGCCGAGGAAGGGGCAGGTAGCAGATACGTGCCCTGCTCTGGGAGTGTGGCATTCTTCCCGCGTGGCCTCCCCATCTGGCCTGGGCAAGCCCCTGCTGCACTCCCGGCCTGACCCAACGGGGGTTGGTGCAAAAGGGTCCACCAGGGGCCAACACGATCACCCTGAGAGGCTCTCCTGGTGTCCCCGGGGTCCCCCGATACGTTCCTTGGCGGACAAGCCCCGCAGGCAGGAGTGGGCGCTGGGAGGAGGAAGGGGGAAAAAAAAGACCAAGGGCAGAAGGAAATGAGCAGGGAGTTATGTGCGATTTGATTCGCAATGAACATCTTGTGCGAGAGAAGAGGCAATTTGGCACCTGTTACTAGTGAGTTACTGGCGGAAGCACTCAAGGCCTAGGAATTCCACTGTGAAGACCGGATGAGCTCACGTGGCAGCACACTGCGAGAAGGGTGACCCGGGACGGGCTCTGGACTCTGCCTGGGACTCTTTTCAAGATAAAGCAGGCAGCACCCTGCCACGTTTTAGGGCCTTCTGGGTGGGAACAGGGATCCTTTTGCCTGTGGAGAGCATGATCTGATAAAAGGAGCATTGCCCCCTGCTGCTGACCGGGGGCGGGGTTGGGGTCGGGGGTGACTCTGAACACCTCACTTGCCTGTTTGGTGCTGCAGGATGAGGAGTTAATTCCTGGAACTGTCTAAGTCCCTTCCAGCTCCAGACACTCCCTGATTAAATGGAATAATGGGTGAGTGATTGCTTTGTAGACTGTAGAGCGCTGGGGGTCTGTACTTTTCACGCAGACAAAAGTGACCTGAGAGCAAACCCGGCCATCTACTGCTGGCAGCCGGGTGGCCCGGGAGTCAGTGTTGCCTGTTCTGGACCTACGGGCAGCTCCTACCTTGGTTTTGCGGCCCGATCCAGCCCCTGTTCTCACGCTGCTGTGGTTTCTCTTCCTGTTGCCTTTTCCAGGTGATCCTTCTTAAGGAGGAAGAGAAATTTTTCTTGTGAAAATTGCGTCTGGGCTGTGGGTAGGACATGGGCCAGGCAAGCAGACACAGGGGTGGGTGATGGGGCTTTTGGCTCTGCTAGGAAAGAGCAGTTACCAGGCGTCCTGGGAGCTTAGGATCATGACTGGTCTCATCTGTTAAGGAATTCAGACTTCGTCTTGTAGGAAATAGGAGAGCAATCGCAGGGTTGTCAATAGTGGGAGAGAACTTTTTTTTTTTTTTTTTTCAGATTTCAGGTTATACAGTGACATTCAGGCCTTGAGTGATATTTTAAAAATGGAATGGATGAGTATAGAATGGACTAGAAGCTATCAGAAAACATGCATGTGGTGAGTATTGTTTCATGAAATATACATGTTTGTGTGTGTGTGCTGGGTTTTGGTGTGAATATATACGTATTTCTGTGGGCCATGGTCGAAAATTTTGAAGCCCACTTGGTTTGCAAGCCTTCTGGGCTGAATCAGGGAAGGCGGACTGGAGGGGGAGAGACAGGAAGTTCTTGCAAACAGGGCAAGTGAGCTGCATTCTCTCCCACCCCAAGTTCTTGAGAAAGAAATTGCTTAACTTTTGAAGAGAGTTCACTGATGTCTTCCAAGGCCTCCTCCGCGTGGCCATGCAGATAACAGTGGAGGCTATGGCTGTGTTTGGTACCCTGCTTCATTGGCAGGATCCTCTGCCTGGTACCAGTGTGCTACCCTGGGCCACAGCTGGAACTTGGTTCCTTTGACTTAACAATGATGGTAGCTTTCCATCCTTCCAATGAGATGTTTTATATATATATATATATATACACATATATATACATACATACACACATATATATATACACACACACATATATACACACACACACACACACACACACACATATATATATATATATGTATTACCAGAGCCAACACTGGGGTCCAATCCAGCCTATGCTTGGGACCCAGCATCAGTTCAGTGCAGATGGCAGGCACTGTGCACCCCACTATGCACCCCGCCTTTCAGTGGAAGCGGGTGAGAAGACTGGCTGCTTCCTAACCTCCCACAACTGGTGATACCAATGTCGTCACACGCCTGGGGCAGGCACCACTTGGGGGAGAGTGTAGTCACAGCACTGGTGAGCTGCCGGCTACCCTCTGGCCTCCGCACACCCTGTTACTTAGTCTCTAAGCTTCTACCTTAGCCCCTTCTCAGGCAGTGGGGACCCAATTTCTTTCCTAGGTTTAGCCACAACAAACCCCCTTGTTGTAGTGCCACGGGGGCCAATCTGATCCTTTTTAAAGGTGACCAACGCCATACACATGCACTCCTCCCCATCCTTTCCTTACCCAAACCTAACCCTGTGCATATGGTTTACATAACTCCCGACACCCAGCCTCTTGGTTACACCTTCAGGGCAAACATACCAATGCTGCTCTTTGGACTCCATAAATGTGCATATCCTTTCTGTCTGACCTGGGATTTTTCCAGATCTCTGGATTCTGACTGGCTCCTAATTCACACTAGCAGAGCCACCTACCACTGTTTGAACACCACCACCTCCAAGGGCACTTCAAAATGTTCATGGAAAAATAAACTCTTTTAATGCCATTTTCTGCTAACTTCTTGAAGCCCTTTGGTATGTGCCAAGCCCTGTACTAGGATTTTATATATTTAGCAAACTCCAAGAGATATTATTATCTCTCTTTTATGGATAAAGAAACTCAGGCTTGGATATTGTTAATAATTGCACGTCTAGTTAATAATCAAGTTGTTTCAAAACCAGGTTTCTCTAGATTGTAATCCTTTGACTGCTGGGACATACTGCTTTCCCTGGTTCCCTTCCATAGTCTCCTTCCATGAGAACGAGGAATGCCTTCTCTCTTTCTTTCCATTCTGTCTTAGAAAAATCATGACAACACAGGCACCTCTTTGGAAAGAAAATCTAAGTGGGATTTGGTTTTGCACTGGAACACCCTCAGAGGGGGCTCTCCAAAATCTTTAGGCGCAGACTCTTGCCTCCCACAGGCTCCCCTGGCTGTGAGAGAAAGGGCTGTCCTCAGTATCAGACCGGAGAGGGCAGGACAGTTCCCCAGACCTTCTCCTCCACGTCTGAAGAGGCTGAATGAGGAGTCGGCCGTGTGCTCCACTGTACCCCTTTCTTCGGCATTTATTCGTATTTTGTTCACCGCTTTGTCTCCCATCCCTTCCTCCCTCTGAACATCCACTGTTGCCCTGGAAATGTCAATCCGTCATTCCACAAATATTGGGATATCAGCAAAGGTCCAGCTTCACTGCTGTGAATGTTGTATCCTTGGTATAGAAGTTATTTGGGCCAGCGCCGCGGCTCAATAGGCTAATCCTCCACCTAGCGGCGCCGGCACCCCGGGTTCTAGTCCCGGTCGGGGCGCCGGATTCTTTCCCGGTTGCCCCTCTTCCAGGCCAGCTCTCTGCTATGGCCCAGGAGTGCAGTGGAGGATGGCTCAAGTGCTTGGGCCCTGCACCCCATGGGAGACCAGGAGAAGCACCTGGCTCCTGCCTTCGGATCAGCGCGGTGCGCTGGCCACAGCGCGCCAGCCGTGGCGGCCATTGGAGGGTGAACCAACGGCAAAAGGAAGACCTTTCTCTCTGTCTCTCTCTCTCTCTCACTGTCCACTCTGCCTGTCAAAAAAAAAAAAAAAAAAAAAGTGAGTGCCAGACCCCTGGCGTCACCCATTCTGCAGCTGGGAGTAAAATCAGGGCTAGCCAGATGCATAGGACAGGGATGATATGGGAAACGTGTGTGCATCTATCATTGTTGAGACCCACAAGGGCCCCTCCTTGACGTAACAGTGCTCTTTCTTCCCCTTGGCTTGGAACAAGGCATCTAGAAGTCGTGGAGTTGGACAGACTCTTGTGGGTCATCTCAAGCAGCTTATGCCATCAGAGGCAGCACTATACGCTACAGTGTCCCTCACATCCGACTTCTCCTTGAACACTCCCAGGTGGGGGCTACCTTGTGTCTATCCACTCCATTCTGGAAAATCTCATTCATATAATTATCAGGTTTGATCTGATTCCCCAGTCCTTCTACCCAGGGGTCCCATCTCAGCCTCTTGGCGTAACATGAATTCCAAACCCTCTTCCATATGATTCTCCTACAAGTATCTGTAGGCAGTGGTGATGCCAGACTTGTTTTCCTGAGACAGAGCATGCCCAGTGGGTGCAGTTTTGCAGCTGTGTCAGTACTCTTGGTAATGTCAATTCCACTTGTAAGGTATACTGGTGTGAATGAATGAATACTTAGCTTTTACTGTGTGCCAACCCCATTCAAAGACCTGATCTAATTCAAGTCTCATGTCCAACCTGGGAGATAAGAACTCTTTCCATTTTATAGAGAAGACTGAAACTCATGGAGTTAGGGGTTTACAGGAAGGTCATCGTGTTAGAAATGGACAGAACCATCACATCACTTTATCCTGAGCCTTTTACCACACACATGCACTGTTTTTCCCTTGATCTGAGTTTCACCAGGATAAGGATGGTGTGAGACAGATACAGGCCTTGCCATCCTTAACTAAACAAGATCAGGGCAAACTCCATAAACAGCAGAGCGGTTTCTATCCCCATGGACTCACGGACGCAATATCAGAATCAAGATCAGCTCTCCAGATCTCAAAGACACGTGTTTGTGCACATAAGCAGAAACTGCTCATTTCACATGTATGTGCTTAGAGTGGAAAATATTGGAGACATTTGTCACTTTTCCGTAATATTTTTGGAATACAGGAGCCCTCTGGTGGCCACAGTCATAGCAGGAAGGTGTCCTTGGGAAAATTAATCTGAGATTTCCTCGTCTGAACTTCTCCCTCGCCCCTTTTCCGTTCATCCTCCTACCTTCGGTTTTCATGGGCGGTGACTTGCTTTCTGTACACCCTTCCTTCACCTCTAACCCTCGAGTTCCTCCCAGTACCTTCCCCTCCAGCCCCAGCTGTCGCCCCCTGATCCCCCTGGAATCTCTCCTCGCTGCCATCTTTTGGTCTCAGAGGACCCATTCTGAAATCTGGCCAGTTCCCCTGCGGCAGGTGCTGGGTGACAGCTGCTGCCTCTGCTGCTGCTTCAGTGGTGTGGAATTCGAATCCCTTGTGGGTGTTTAGAGGCTGCACATGGATTAGTTCGTGATGCCTGTTCATCAACAAGTTTTTGCAGTGTCCTGGTAAGCATGCGGGGTGGTGGTGCTGGTGGTGGTGGTGCTGGTGGTGGAGGAGGAGGAGGAGGAAATGTGGGTAGGGGAGTGCCCATCATTTCTTAGAACTAACTTCTTTTGGGAGAACAGGTGAGTTTCCTCTCCCCTAGACACAAAGAGATGACCACACATCACTAATTCCCTGAGGTTGGCCAACCGTCCAGAGCTGGGTGATTCCAAGTTTCTATTCTCAGTTCACTTTTCAAAAGGCTGCTTTCCTCCTTCTTGTCTGCAAACAACGACTTTTCTTCTGCAGGCTCATGCCACACAACAACCAGCAGCGGGTGAAGACCCACAGAAGAGTGATTCCAAATGTCAGTCAGTGAGGATTGACCAGCGACTCACAGGCGGAGGCTGCACTGATGGCTTCAGGGAACCCATAAGGGAACAGGAAGCCAAGAGTGAACGGGGCAGGAATTTTGGTTAAGGTGTTGGACAGTCACCCTGGCTTCTAGTGCAATAAGATAATGGGGCAGTATAACACTTAGAAAGCACTTTGGACTCTTGAGGAAAAGGCGTCCTATAAAATGAGCTGGTGACTTTATTACATTATGGTGCTTAACAATTAGTGGCTTAATCACAGGGCAATGGAGTGAGATTGGCCTGTGATTCCCTGTGCCGGGGAGACAGTCCGGAAGGCCTTTACAGGGCCCACTGTGTGTTGCAAGAGGGAGGAGTGCAGCACTTCTGGGCTTCTTTGCAAGTGAGGCCAGAGGAGGGTTCTGCAGAGAACTAGAGCATTTGGAAAGCTACTGGTTTCCATCATCTAGGAAGGGAATGGCCGGAGAGGGTGGGGAGGGTTCCCACCGTGGGATACCATGCAGCTGAGTTTCCGTTCCCGCTGCCTCCTAGGTAAACAGAGTGGCCTTTGAATGCTGCGAGATGAACGTAGGCTCCTAACTCAGGATTAGGGTGACACTGGAAAGCACCTGTGTACCTGCAGAGCTGTAGAATTCTCTCCCCTGAAGATATCAAGGGAGTGTTGATAGGTCTTAGGTGCGTCCGGGTGAAGCCCTACCTCAAGGATGGATGAGATCGCTCCTGGGGATGCTCTTTCCAGAACTGTCTTTCTAGAAACACCCTGGGCTTCTTGTTGCCTGAGATTTTCTGAGTACATAATTTCTAGGTGAAAGAGTGATGCTGAAGTGTGTGTCTAACTCTGTCATCTTCATCCAGTCTCTCCATAGTGCTGTCTCTTTGCCCTTTTATTTAAAAAAAAAATTGGTTGATTGATCACACACACACACACACACACATACATACACAAAGACAGATCTTAAAACTGTTGGTTCACTCCTCAAATGCCCACAACATTTGGGGGGTGAGCCAGGTGGAAGCCAGAGGCCAGAACCTCAATCCAGGTCTCCCATGCAGATGGCAGGAACCCCACTAGTTGAGCCAGCACCTGCTGCCTTCCAGGGAGCTCAGTGGCAGGAAGCCGAAATGGTGAATGGAGCTGGACTTGAACGGAGGCACTCTGATATGGGATGCAGGTGTCCCAAGCAGAATCCTAATTGCTGAACCAAAATGCCCACTCCCTTCTTTGCCCACCCAACCACAGATACTCAGCCCCCTCCCAGTTTCTACCAGAACTTACAGGACCCACCAAGAACGCCTCTGATCAAGGTAGTACTCATTTGTTCAATTTCCCCTGGTTCAGTGTGTGTGCACATAACCATGCTGTCCTTTTTAATGGAGCGATCAGTTCTGTTATCACACTCAGCTTTGGGTGAACAGCTTGGACCATGCCTATCAAATGTGCTTTTTGTAGTATCTCATCCCAGAGAAAAGTTCTAAATACATATTTGTTTTTTTCCTTAGAGATCCTATGGCACAATGAAAAGCACGCTGGATTGCAAGTTAGCAGACTGTGTTCCTTCCTGGCTTGCCACCATCTAGCCCTGTGACCTTGAACATCTCGCTTTGCTTCTCCAGGCCCCAATTTCCACATCTATGCAATGAGGAGATCTGGAATGAAGAGGCACCTCCAGCTCTGAAATGCACTACTTCCATAAAGGTGCCCTCCTTCCGAGCAATGCCAGCTCCTCGCGGGCGGCGCTAAGCCCTGTGTATAAGTGCGAGTGCTCTCTGGCCCGAGGAGGCAGTGGTGGAGGGGTAAGGAGTGAGGGGCAAGCAGGTATGTGTTCATAGATGAATCACTCCCAGCAGCAGTGAGAAGAGACAGGGAGGACTGGTGCTGCTTCCCATACTACTTCTCATTTGTGTGCCTACTGTGTGTTTCCTTCCTCCCTCCCTCTCTGCCTCCCTTTTTCCCTTCCCATCCTGCAGGACTCACTGCCAGCTGACCATGGCCCTGAATATGGAGGAGAACAGAGATAGGTAGCTGCACATTTAGCCTCACGATCCACACTGGGGGCTGGAGCTGAGCTGGGAAGACCCCTGGACCAATGCTCCTCATCCCAGTAGGGCTTGGGGGAACTCCCGTTTCTCATGACAAGGCAGGATTTTTGCTTTCCTAGGGAAGCGTCAGTGTAAGTGGAGAGAAGAGGCTTAGAGAGTTCGGGCATGGAGCCGAGGCTTTTGTGGAGGGTAGGATTCCTCAGCTGTCAGAAACATCAGTGGAAGGGGAAACAGGTGGTGAATTCCTGCTTTCCTTACACAAATATTTTAAGTGGATCATAAGCCCCCTCTTTTCTCCCTACCAATAAGTCCCCAGTGTTTTAGTGCTCACGGCTCCGAATGCCAGGATCTTTTTTCCAAACCAAGTGGGAGCCCTGCTTTGCTACTGGTTGCTGGTGTTTGGGGATAAATAGACTTTGGCTCTAGGAGATCAGCTTTGGTCCTCTCTCAGATAAGTGACACAAAGAAGCTGGTCCAACTTCCTGGGCTTGACTGCCTTAGATGTTGTCAGTGGGAACGTGTCTCACTGCATTTCTGATAACCAAGCCCAACATACAGCAGGTATGTTTGCCAGGCAGGCGAGGTGGGAAGTCTTGGCAGCAGCTCTGGGCGAAACCAGGAAGAACATGATGAGGCCAATTGAAAGACAACGTCACCAGTTTCTAATGAGGGAGCGCATGGCAGAGGGGCTGAGCCCGTGAGGACGCCTTTGCTGAGTGTGGGACAGTGAGGGGCACGGAGAGGGGTCCTGCCTGCCACTGCACGGCCCAGAGGAGAGGGCAGAGTCTCTATCTTAGGGTCTGTAAGAACCTGAGGCAGGAGTTTGTCAGAGCAGTTAAGACACCACTTGGGACACTTGCATCGCATATGGTCTGGGTTTGAGGGTTTGAGTCCTGGTTGTACACCGGATTCCAATTTCCTGTTCATGTGTACCCTGGAAGGAACCAAGTGATGGCTCAGGGACTTGGGTCCCTGTCACCTATATGGGAGACCTGGATTCTGTTCCCAGCCTCTTGGCTTTGACCTGGCCCAGCCCTGGCTATTGTAAGCATTTGGGAACTGAACCAGCAGATGACAGATTCCTCTCTCTCTCTCCCTCTTTATCTCTCTTCCTCTGTGTGTGTCTCCTTCTCAAATAAAACAGATTTATTAAGACAACAACAACAACAAGAAACCAGAACTTGCAGAGATAGAGGCTGATCGGCAGATAGTAAAGCTAATTATGTGAGCATGGAGACAAATCTGTTCACAAGACAGACGCGAGATGGAATCATGGAACTTAGGGCTAATAGCAAAGCACTTTCAGGTTTCCCGTCCAGCCCCTTCATTTTATAGGTAAATAAGCCCAGGCTTACACTAACAGTGATTGGCAGGGTAATATTTTCTCTAAGTGTAGGGCATTCTTAGTACAGCGATCTATTGCTTTTGGGGCAGGGGGAAAGCCTGGGGTTTGGAGAAAAACTGACTCAAGTCAGCGTCAAGATGTCAGTTGCTATCTGCGACCTTGTAGGATAAGAATACCTACCTCTCGGGGCTCTTGAGAGTAAATAAGAAAATACCTGTGAAAGCATCCGACCTAAAGCTTGGCACTGTGCATAGCAAGTACTGATGATTACTCATGCCCAGTCCATGCGGATTATCATGAACTTGGCTGGCAGAGTCTGTCCTGGTAGTGAGTGAGTGAACAAACATTAAACAAGTGATTGCTATGTACCAGGAATGCTTGTATTGTATCACACGTCCTCAATTATTAAAATCATATTAGTGTAATGAATAACTGTGAAGTAGGAACTGTTGTGTTAATAAATAAATAACAGCAGTGGTAATGGCAGTGATGATAATAGAGTTGGCCCAACTGCTGTAGAGACAGCGTGGTGAAGTGAGGGGAGGCAAAAGGAAAACTTCTTCTGGCATCTAGCTTCTTTAGTTGGCTTTGGCTTCCAATAGCAGGTGTTCCAAGGAATAGGAATGCTGGTCATTCGTTCATTCATTGGCAGACCAGTTACTGAGTTATTATGGGCCGGTTACTTTCCTAGGAACGGAAACATGGTGGCCGACCAAAGCAAGATTCCTCCTTTAAGTGGCGATTGCATTCTAGCTGAGGCAATAAGCACACAAGGAAATAGATAACATACTGTTGGGTGGTGATAAGACGTGAGTGTGAGTGTGAGTGTGGAAGCAGGGGGTGGGCAGCAAGGGGAGAGGGATAGTCGGGAGGGTAGGGGAGGGGATGGAGGGGAGCTAGTGAATCTCATGGGGCAGGGGGTGGATTCTGGGCGGGGGAAAGCGTGTGTGAAAGCCCTAAAGTGGGACAACAAGAAGGCCAGGTGTCGGGAATGTGGTGCAGAACCACGTCTAGAGGTGCGTGTTCTATTCTGCCCGGATGCAGGAACGTGAAGATCTGATATACAGAGGCTCTTCCCTGGAGAACCTAGAAACAGGCTCAAGATAAGACTAACAGGGGAGAAGCAGGTCGGGGCCCCCTGCATCTTAGGGCCTTCTCAGAGGTGAGAAGGGTCCCTGAGGATGATGGGAGACTTGGCGGCAGAGTCGGGGAAGCAGCACCTCCAACCAGAACCCAGAACCTCGTGACTCTGCCAGTCCAGTACGCCCCACTGTCGGATTCCCAAACCCTCGTGAGCCTCAGAAGGCTGGGAAACTTTCCCCGACTCCCCTTTCTCTTTGCTAACCTATTCAGAATGATCGCCTATCGATTTTCCTGGTTGCTTTTAAAGATATTTCTATTTCTTGAGGCTGGTGTTTGTCCTTGTGGTTAGGTGGCCAGTTAGGGCATCCCATATCAGAGTATTTGGGTTCAGTTCCTGGTTCTGGCTCCTGACTCCAGCTTCCTGCTACTGCAGACCTTAGGAGGCCACAGATGATGGCTCAAGTACTTGGTACCCTGCTGTACCTGCTGCCCACGTGGGAGACCTGGACTGAGTTCCAGATCCCTGCTACCCACTCCAGCCCCGCAAAGTGCTGCTGGCATTTGAAGAGTGAACCAGTGGACTTTGTTTACTTTTCTCTATCTGTGGAAGGCCAGCTACTCCTTAGAGTTCTACGGAATGGTGGGGACAGCAGTGGGCAGGGGCGCCACTTGCAACATTGATTAGTGCTGCGATCTTGTAGCTTGACCTTTTAGGGACCCAGGTTACTCCTCTGAAGGTGGCAGACAGCCGTGTCATGCTTTACGTGGCCCTGTAACATTAGGAAGACTCTGTAAACCGTCAAGTGCACTCATTATATCCGTTACACCTGCTCCTAACCACCTCCTGCCAATCATTCCAATGACCTCTTGCTAAATTTTTCCACCTATGAAATTTTTATTTCTTTTTTTTTAAGTGGACAAGAGAGCACTGGGTTTGTTCGAAGACTAAATCATGCTTCCCACTCTGATTCTGATGTCTTACATTTTTATGCATCCCCACCTCTTCCTTCCCAACTTTGGGAAACCCTTGAGATCTTGGGTTCACGGCTTCAGGGAACAACAGGATCCCCAGGTCCTCTCGGAGGACATCAATATTCAGAACCCATTTCCCTACCGTTGAAGTAATTTCAACTCAGTACACACGGAATGAGCTTCTGGTCTGTGGTGTGCGCAGGGAATGGAAAGGATACGGAGCAGTCAAGGGGTGCAGGCCAAGTGGGGGTGAAGAAAGCATTCACGTTGGTGACCTCTCCCCGGAGCAGAGAGCCGTGGGACGTGGAGGAGCGGGCCATGGAAAAGGAGCAAGAGCGAGCCAGGGTCACCTCCCTCCAATGGGCTGTGCCTAGCCACAGAGCGGGTTCCTATTTCTGCGTGGGCAGCCTGGCAAGTGTTGGCAGCGTGGGGCAGAGGCAGAGGCAGAGGCAGAGGCAGGGAATGGGTTCTATGGGGAAAGTGCACCCCATCCTGAAAGGAAGAGGCCTCTGCTGAGCGCATGGCTGGAAGACCAGGAGGAAGGGGGAAGAAGGCAGGGTCGGGGCTTAGAAAAGGAAACAAACTTGGCCTGGCAGGGGGTCCGTCTTGCCCCAGGACCCCTTGGGGTTTTCTCCCAGGGCCTGGACCGGGAGGCTGCTCAGCACAAGCCCTGGCAGGAGGCTTCGCCTTGCCAAGCTGAAAGGAGCCTGGGCCCTGTCATTGAGCCCATCCAGCCAGGCTCTCTCTGTCCTTTGTCAGGGCCCAGGAGGCTCCGTATCATTCCTCCAGAGCAGTCGGCTTCCCTCCGGCCTCATTACGCAGTACATTAGCTGTGGGAACTAAACCCATTACAAAAAGGAGGGGGTGGAATTGGCACACGGGGAAAGAGACCTTCTCAGATCAAGCTAACAACTTGTGCCTATTAACTAAAGAAGATCATTAGAAAATTCCCATCTCCTCTCCTCTGCCCCCCCACCCCCGCCTGGCCCCACCCCCAGCACTCTCCCAGTCAGACATGCAGAGGGAGGGGGCTCCCTGTGTCTTGCACACACACCCAACCTTAAAGGGGCCTTGCTCAGAGCTTGGTGGGAAGGGAGGTTTTGGATGGCCATGGCCACTGGCTTTGATGTTGAGTCCGATTTCAAAAGAACAGGACTGTCCCTCTTTCTCAAAGATGGATCTTTACGGATCGATGAAGACAACAGCAAGAATAAAATAAGTCCTGCTTCATGATTGATTTCCAGCATCCCATAATGAAAGAGACAAAGGGGAAAGGCTTTGTTTTCTGCTGTTCAACAGTGACTCTGTGAGAGCTGGATGGTCGCTTTGAGACGAATCTGTCATTGCAGATGGGGACCCCCCAGCCCAGAGAGGGTCGATGATGCCGTCCCACAGCTTGTGGGAACTTCACGGGTCTTCTGCTTGCGAGTTTGGGGTTCTCTTCCAACACGCTGCCTCCAGTTCGCGCATTTTTCTATTTCAGTTTTCCGCTAGCCTTCTGCTGGCCTCACTTCCTCCTTGGCTGTGTTGCCTAGCAAGGGTGGAATAATGTCCCCAAAGACAGGCAGTCAAGTACCTGTGCCAGGAGGCCATGCATGCAAAATTAGATATCAGCAGGGATTTTGAAATTTTGAAATCCATGCATATGGGGTTAGTCTTCAAAAAGATGGCGGGAAATACGCATTGTGAAAAAACTATGCATAGATCTCAATGTTTTTGCACCAAAAATACACTTCTCTTAATTCTCTCTCTCTCTTTCTGTTCTCTCTTTCCCACTCTTCCTTCTCTGACTTTATCCCATGCGTGGTTCTTTTTCCAGGGTCTCCACGTAGACCTCAATGAGATAAAATAGGCCTCAGGTCTGTGTGCCCTGGTCCCTCGGGAGTGTTTGGGCTTCATCTAAAACTGCTCCTTTAGATAAGAGGACCCCAGTGCTGTGGCTATTTTCCCAACCTGGTCAGGTGACTAGAGCAAACCTGGAGCAAACACGTGAGAAACTAGACCAGCCTCGTTGTGTGGGACAGTGAGACCCGAGATTTTTCCTCTTGAGTCAGATCCCTTTGTGTCTGTGTGTGTGTGTGCGTGTGCATGTGTGTGTGTGTGTGTGTTTTTACTATACTCTGTCAAAAGGTCTGATTAGCATTTCCTTTTCAGTTGCTCCTTCACCATCCCAGCTGCACCAATTGTGGTCAGTAAAACAGAATTGGTGCAATAGCAATCCAGGAAAACAGCTGAAAGGGAAAGAGTGAAGAAAAAACAAGGGGGTGAGTTTTCTGAGAGCTGGAAGAAACTACCCCAATTAAAAAGAGAGAGGGGAAGAGAGGGGATGAGGTCCTTGGAGGGAGTAGACGCAAAGATTCCAAAGAGACAGGAACCTGAATTAGACTTAAAACAACGAGAAAGGTGACTCAGACTACTTACATGGATAACACACACACACACACACACACACACACACTCCATCTAGAAAATGCAAAAAAAAAAAAAAAAAAGTCTTTTTCCAAAACGATGAATGGGACAGAAAGGCCTGGAGTTATAAGAAAGGAAGAAACAGAGACAGAAACTTCCTTTCCCTTGTCTTTCCTTTTATTGATTCTTCTTTTAATATGTTTTTTTCTCTAATAGACAGAGGGACTTTGAGGGACTTGTGCACCGGCCGGGCTGCTCTGACCGTCCTTGCCTTGGGGCTGCCTGGACTCCTGTCCAGTCTGCTTGCTGCCTTCTTCTTCCCTTTGACCCCAGCAGGAAGCTGGGCAGTGGGTGAGGTCCCGCTGGAGAAGCGTGGAGAAGGCAAGGGCGTGAGGGCACCCGGGAGGGCACTGCGAGTGCTCTGAGCCAGGGTTCCCGGGGTCCCTGCATGGGCTCGTGTGGCAAACGTTGCTGTCACCACTTGTTTTTACAGACTTCTCACTTGCCTCTCAAAATGACCTAATTGGGACTGAAGGATCTCTAGCTGGCTCTCAGGCCCAAGGAGTTTGTTCTTGGAAAGCGTGACCTCCTGCTTCGTCTATTTTTCAGGGCTGTCAGAGAGGCAAAGAGGCGCCTGCCCTACTGGGCTGTGTTGTGCCACGGTGTCGGTTGTGCTAAAAGAGAGGGCCACCAACAGTTAGGCAGTAGCAGCTCCCTTCCGTCCTCACAACGCAAAGCAAACAAGGAGTCCTGGAGGGGAAGGTCTTGCAATGTCCCTAAGCCTGGTGGTTCCTTTGGGGTCCATGTCATCCAGTGCCATTATGGATAAGAGTTTATCACCTAGCGTCAAGCAGACTTGTGTCTGAATTTCGACTCCACCTCTCAGCAAATGTGAAGCAATTACTACCTTCTCTAAGTTTCTTCATTTTCATCTTGAGGCTATATTTGCTGTGATGGATATTAAAATGCATGTAAAGTACCTACCGGTAATAAGTTCTCAATAAATGCTAGAAATATTGAACTGGGAGACAGGAAACCTGGTGTTGAGATTTGTGTGGGTTTGAAAACTGGTTCTGAGGTTTCCTAGCTGTGTGAATCAAGACTGGGTGTCAGGGTCTCAATTTCCATATCAAAAAAGAGAAAAAATGGGGATAAAATATATACCTCTCTATAAGGCTACAAGACAAGTTGTACAAAGGCTGTGATCCAGGGGCCCACACTGTGGCGCACCTGCGCCCCCAGCGTCCTGTATCAGATTGCTCCTTTGAGTGAGTCCTGGCTGCTCCGCTTCCCATCTAGCTTCCTGCTAATGCACCTGGGGAAGCAGTGCATGATGACTCAAGTGCTGGGTCCCTGCCACCATGTGGG